AAAAAGCTCTTTTTCACACGTTTTCGCTCTGCTCTTGTCATTTAAACAGACCAGTCTTTTAAAACAAACCTCCTAGGTCACAAACCCTAATATGTAACAGAAATTCTAATTCGTGCTCAAATACATAGCCTATCAGCCTGCTCCACGGCGATTTAAGCGCGCCGGTTCCTGCGTGTGTTTTTTTTTCTGGTTAGCATACAGCGTAAGTGTTCTAGATGGCTTGGCGATAACACTGCGTAGGTAGAGGAAAAACCGAAATCGCTGTGACTAGTCGAGAGGATAGCTAGAACTTTTAAAAGAGTATGTTAAACAAGATCCAGCCTTTTCTACGAGGCCCCAAAAGTGCCACACCTTATTTTTACAGTTGCACCCAGTAAACCAGAATATTCGGCGCCGTGATTTAGGTGTTGCGGTAACACCTACCAGTACTTACTTTATCACTAATGGTCTGGCAGCGATAGTCATCAAAACATGACTTGATAATGCCAGCAGCTTAACGGATTTAGTTTTAAATAGCCCAATCCAACAGATTAAAATTGTTAAAAGCCGTATTTTACCCAGCTTTTTCAAGCTCCTATACCGTCTGCCTACTTTAGGCATGCGCTGCTGGCTGAGAGAAAAGGTAGGAATGACCACGTGATAACTGCACAATGCCCCACATACCCTGTTTCTTTCAAGGAATACAGTCTACCTCAACATATGGAAAGAGCTTAAACAAAATTTAACTGTGAAAAATAAGAAAGTTTACTGAAGAAAGAGATAGGAATAGCTGCTCCTCTAAAAGTCTATACTTCAGAGAATTTGAATGCGTTACCAATATTATGCAAAACGAATGCGGTTTTGTTTCGGTAAGCCCGTCATTCATGGCCTGTGGAAGTGGCTTCTTCGCCAGGAGTAGCGATGACAGCATGAAGGGTGGTTGAAATAGTTTAAGCAAGGATTTGACGTAACAGGAAATAAATATCTGTCCCTTCTAGGCATTTTACCGTTTGCGCTTACCTTGAGGCGGCAAATTGTAGTCGATAGTTGTGTTGCATAAGGCTGACGGGTTTTCTTTGAGGGAGGCAGCGTTTAGGTGGTGTTTAGTAACATTAATTGTGCCTGCTCCGGAAGAGAGCGTTTTTCATTGACATCGAACACTGCTTGCCCAGGGTCAGTCGACTATTTTACCTTGCAGTACAAGCTTTAGAAGAGTTGTTTCAACAGGCAGCTGATTTCAGGAGTGACGTTCACGATGGGCGCCACATGTCTGTACTAAACTTGCTTTCATTTTTATTGCTCACAATCAGTCGGGGACCTGCCACGAGGGTAAAAAGCCGCAACAGTGTGTCTTCCTGTCGGACAACCGCCTCTTTACAACTGGCTTCTCCCGAATGAGTGAGCGGCAGTTGGCATTGTGGGACGCAGACAACCTGAATAAACACCTGTGTAAGCAGGAGCTCGACACCTCTAACGGTGTCCTCTTTCCCTTTTACGATCCAGACTGCCAACTGATATACGTCTGCGGCAAGGTGAGCGTTTCCAGTTCTTAGCTTTCTTCTTCGTCTTTCTCCATCCCAAAACATGTTCCTATAAAACGTGATTTTCGTACTGCCAGTAAGAAAAGCATGCAACCTGTTTGCACTACTGACTGTCTATCGAAAGCTTATGATTACCAGAAGGTTATCTCACTGAAGCGGATTGATTTCCGCTCAAATATTTATGTCAGCTTCTGGGCCCACTTCGAATGATTTACTCCTCGTTAGCGTACTGATTTGTGGGGAGATTAAAAAGCTGAAAGTTCAAAAGTTAAATATATATCAGAAAGCACACAGGGGGTATGAGAGATCCGCATACGAACCGAACTTCTCGCAGCTGTGTACTGCAGAGGAAGGAACTCCGTCTAACGTGTGTCTGGGCTTTCGTCTAGTGCTTGTGTTCTCCATAAGGTGGGTCAAGCAACCTGTGCATTTTTAATTTTGTCAACTTTTTTTAGTCGTCCTACTAGCCTCAGCCTATGTTTGGAATTAAACAGTGCATATATTTGATACAGAAATAGCCGGAGGCAACCTTTTTCCCACTTAGTATGTTACAGTTTAACTTTGAATCCACAGGAGCACGGATAGGACCCCTGCCTACAGTTAGAGCATCGATGCTCGTGCAATGTAGTCTAACTTCCTTCACGTTTGTGACTCCTCACGACTACATTCGCCCAAGGAGCACAGAGCCGAACCACAGTCTGGTTAGTCATCTATTATTGGAGGGAACAGCGAATACCTATCTGTTAGGGGAGCATTTTCTCACGAAAACACAGTTT